CGGGTCAAACCCTCAAATAATAATATATATTATTATGTAAAAATAGGAGATAGCAAATTTCGATCACCATATACCATAAAAAATATTAGTATAGATAGTAAAAAACATGAATTACTTCAACCATTATTAGATAAGCTTATGTCTAGACACCCTATTATACAACAAGATAGTTACTATCTCAGTAATATTTTTACTGGAGAATGTACGTGTCTTGACTTTGTATGGAATAGTTTTTTCTATGATGTGTGCAAGCATATGCAAGCTGCACATCTATTTAATAATATTGAAGATAACAAGATTTCACTAGATATAATTATGCATGATCTTGTCTTATATTTTCGAAATAAAGAACACATAATGCCGGCAGAACAAAAGAATCTTACTATTTATAGTAGCTCAATTGATGCCGCATCTGAGAAAATTATTTGAATTTATTCAGTATATGGTAATGATATTTTTTTTCTTTATAAGCATAAAAATGCTGAAAAGGATTCTTTTTGCCCAACTGAAATGTCTAAAAAACGAACATCAAATACTGGGGCACCTAAAATATATGGAGCGAAGCCACAAAAGTCCAATAATTTAACAGTTATAACGGATAAAGAAGTAAGTTTAATTTATAATTAAATACACTCAATTTTGTTGTTATATTAACAATTCTGGTAATTTTCTAGAATAACTTTGCTGATGATAGCTCTATCTTATGTGAGGAAGTTGAGTTATCTATAATAAATGAGCCAAGAGAATTTCAGGCAGATAATATAGATAAAATATTAAAACCATTGGCTCCATCAATTCAAAAACAAACAACACTTGTAATTCGTAACCAGAAACGTAATATTACAAAGGTTAGTAATTTAAATAATAAAAGGCGATGAATCAAAAATATATGTTAAAAAACATATACTTTGTAGACTCAATTGACTTGATCTTTTCAGGAACTAAATAGGGATAATGGTGATATAACCTTGTCCAACAAAACCATCACACGATCTGTACTTGAAAAACTTTTTTAAAAAAAACAAACAGATTGGAAAAGGTGCGATTTCGTAAAAGCTTGTATTGAGCAAAATATTCACTTAGACAATAATGCGGAATTGAATAAGAAAAATATTTACTTGGTTCGATAGCAAAAAAAATAGGGCAAAACAGGCATTAAAGTTGTAATTGCTAATGTTAAATTAATACTATACGTATATAAAATGTAATTTATTGCAGTATCAGTGAAATGTTAAATTAATATTATATGTATATGACATGTGATTTATTTATTGCAGTATCAGTATTGCACAATTATGCGTAATAATGTAATCTTTTTTTTTTTTTTTTTTTTTTTTTTTAAGGCTGGTCAATAACGATGAATTATCCTGGTCAATAATAGTACTTTTGCGGTCTCACTATTAATATTCAAAAAAAAAATAAACTTTACAAATAATTAGTAATTATTAATTTTTTAATAGCAGAGTTGTGGAATTTGTAAAGTTTATCTATCTATTCTATAGAATATCTAATAAGAATATAGATTTAAATTATTTAAAAATATTTAAAAAATATATAATTATTAAAATTAAAATTTTTAATAACTCAATAAAAACTTGTTTAAACAAACTTACTAGAGTTTAGTATAAAAATATAATAAATTATTTTTATAAAAAACTTTTAAATTTTTTTATTATAAAAACTAACAATTCACTATAATATATAATTTATTTATTTATTTCTATCTTATATTTTGTACAAATAAAATATAATAAATAATTAGCTACAACTTATTTTATAAAACTAAAAAATATTTTTTTAATTTAAAAAATATTAAAAATATTTTATATCTAGTTAAAATTTAATAATTTCATAATTTTTAAAATTTTCAAACAACTCTTCCTGACAATCACTTGGACCAACTAGCACCAAAAGCAAGTTGAAGACTCAAGACCAGAAGTTAACAACAAGTTGAAGTTTTCTTAATATAAACTGTTGTCAATAAAGTTTTTAAATATGATATACCAAGGAGCAGATGTTTTGAATAGTTTGCAAAGAGGTCAAGTCTTGTTTTTTGTTTTTTTTCAAGTAAACTCCTTTTTGTATTTAGAATTTAAACTAAAGAAGTTTCTAAAAACAGCAAGTAGAAAAATACTTAGAAAGTTTGAAGATAGAAAACTCTACAAACTTTTAAAAAAACTTTCTTTAGTTGGAAACTCACAAAACTACAACTTTTCTTACTACTTTGATGCTTTCAAAACCAATTTTTAACAAAAAGTAGATGGTTTGATTACTCTATCAAAAGATCAGCATTGTTTACTACTTCTATATTTAGCAACTCTGTAATATAAATACAACAAACACATAGCTATATAGGAAGCAATTTATTCTTTATTTGAAAATATAGCTTTGTATGTTAAAGATTTAGATAGTTTTTAAAAAACTTATATACCTATTAGATAAGATGATATAGTAAGAATACGTGGAGTTGATTAATTCGTTAAGACATTGTTATACAGTGCACCTCTTGTATTTCAAAATTTTATTAAAATAACTCCTGTTGTATAATTAATAAAAAATGTTTATTATACAATTTTATACCTAATTTAACCAAAACCCTAATTCTAACTCTAACTTTTGTATAAATAATAATATATTTAAATTATTTGCTTATAATACAAAATTTTATTAGAAAAATTCCTATTGTATAACTAATAAAATATAAAATAATATTTTTTTATATAATATTACTATTAGGGCAGCCTTTGTTTTAACTTTAATTTTTATATTAATTTTTACAAGAAGGTATACCAAATATATGGTGTACCATTTAACATTTTCCAATTTGTTATACTTTGGAATTAGATATAAATTTAAAGTTGGGGCGATAAAGAAAATTTGAGATATATAGTCTAATAACAAAGTTATGTATAGTATATATAATTTTTATATCTTTATACAGACCAAAATATAGTTATATTAGTTTTTATATCATCTGAGTTCTATATTATATCTATATCTATAACTATATACTAAAAATATTTGTGTATAATGATAATGTTTAGACTACCTGTATAAATAATTGATTCAATTGATTCAATTGTATAACTGTTAAAAACCAATTTT